TGGAGAGATGTGGGGACCTCTCACACTCCCTTCATGGCGCACAGCTCCTGTCACTGGCAGCAGCAGGAGCAGGTGGCAGGTGGCAGGTACTTGGGGCACTCGTGGCCCACGCAGGTGACGCTGCCTGGTAGTACACAGCTCCAGCCTGCCTGCACATGGTAGTAAGGAGCGCAGTCAGGCTGGCCTGCCTCTCTCATGTGGGGTTCCCCATGGCACACGTGCAGCTCCCAGCACTCGAACACCACCAAGAGAAGCCATGTGCAATGGAGCCGGCTGCCTTCCCCACTCTCTGCTGTGCAGGTCCTAAGACTGCCAGAAATGACTGAAGCTGGCAACAGGAACCAGCATGATGTAAAACTGGTTGGAAGAAGACAGTTTAAGCATCAATTGGTAGATTCTTGAATTATTAACATAAAGTCTGAAGTGAAAGCTGTGCAATTATATAAATCAGGGGTAGGTAACTCGCTGGCATGGGTGCCAGAGTGTGCCATGTGAAGGCATTTTGCTTGGCACCTGAACCTCAGGCCAGATGGCAGGGAAGGGACCGGGGCTGTGCTGCCCTGGTATAGATCTTTCAAAGAGAGAGAGAGAAAAATAATAAAATATAAAGGATTTTAAGACTATTCCTGTTCTGGAATGAAGTCAGGTTTATTACAAAATAGTGTCCCCATAGGGGAGTTTATACCCAGATAGCTATAACTGGTTAATTATTCCACTATAACTATGCCAGGCAGTTTCCATGCATAGACAGGCCCGCAGATGAATTCCCTGTGGCATGGTATCTCCTGAGTTGCTTTTGGGGAAGAAAGATTTCTTCTGCAGCTGTCGAAGCGCTTATAGAAGACTTGTTGGGATATTGTCATTTCAGACAGCATTTTTTTTAACAGTCTTTAAAGCAATTACATGATTTCAGATTAGACATGTAAGAAACATGACACATGGGTAAATTGCCTTCTTCCTTCAGGCCACACACCACGTTTGTGCTATTATCAAAGGTGTTAAACATGAGAGTGAGCAAGAGAGAGAAAGTTGCAAGGACAAAGTCAATGGGGTTGCACATTTTCTCTAACAATACATTGTGTGATTTTTTTTCTAGGCCATGTCTGCAGAGTTCTGCTTGCTGCTTGAAGTTGGCTCTTAATTGGATATGAGATCTGCTCAGGTTTTTTTATTTTCTTCATACCTTTTTAGCTAAAGTACCAGGGTATCCATTGTATTTGAACAGATCATGTGCAAATAGTGGTCTGCTGACTGGTCCACCCAAAAATTGGCCTCACATCTGGTTGTTATCCAGGCAGTGGAGCTACCCACCAACTGTGGCCAATTATGGATCCCTGGGATCTCGGCCAATTATGGGTCTCTGCCTTGGAGCCCCCCTTCCTAGAGCATGGAGAGTCTCCCTACAGAAGGACACCTAGAGCCTTGAAACCTTCAATCAGACAACACTCAATACTTAACTATATACAATTTATTTACATAGGGAGAAAAGGGGAGGTAGAAAAGACCATAAGAATCAATATGTACACAAACAAAGATATTAATAACTATTATATACTAATAACTATTATACATATGCGACAGCAGTATGAAACCCCAAACAGCCTCTTCTTCTGGAAGTTTGGGAGCAGTCTCTGGGGAGGGGTGAGTGGTAAGAACCCCTTATACTCAACTCTCAGGTTGGTTTCTAGATGAGTTTTGCTCTATGTTGTTTATAGTGATGTACAACTCCCAGCAATGAATATCACGCTGGTCCTGGATGCAAGTAGCAACCCAGTTCTTTACAGACACTCCATTCCCCCCACAGGAGAAGCAGCAACGTTCTGACTTGCTCAGATCAGTAAGCCCCTTCAGAGTCTTATACTCTGTAGTGTAGCAGTCATAGATCCTCTCTGGATCAGTCTTGCACCAGTCGCCCCTGCTGTGGGATTGGTGGAGCCAACCTCCTATGGCCAGAACCCAGCTCTTCCCTCTCAGTGGGGGCTCTGGCAAGCACTGTGCAGCTTACTACCGGGCTCCTCCTGTGGTGTTGTGATTCCTGCCTGCAATGTCTCTCTCCAGTGCCCAGAATTTGATGGGGGTCACTCTCCCCTGCATGGGATGGGTGATTCCCCACCTCCCCCTCATGGGCAGGCTGTGAACACCCAGGGAAGGATCCTCTGAGGCTACAATTCCCTCCCCTATAACAAAGGATATGCTGACAACCCTCTCTGGACTTGACAGGTGTTGTCTTGCTCTGTCTCCCGATACCTGCTGGCCCTCGGAGCAGCACCTTGGTCCCTGCCTTTGTGATCTCACTCCAGCCTCATCCCACTGATTTCAGGCTCTTCTGGGGGTCATTTGACTATCCTACTAGGTCAGCTCACCCCAACTCTTCAATGCTCACATGCTGCTTCTTCCCCTGACTGCAGCCTGTGCTTTCTTTTATCCCCTTAGGGGGCCATGCCCCTGGATAGCAGCTCATTCAATCAGGACTTCACAGTGAATTCTCCAATCACCTTGCGCCACATCTGTGGATCATGGCTAGTCGAATCAGAAGTTTGGGTTGAATGGTCCAATCATACAGAACTTCCCTTGTTGCAATAGGTTGAAGCATAAGCCCAACAAGACCAGGCTGTAAGAGAGCCTGATTTAAATCTGTTACATGGTATTTAAAGGATGATGAAGGATCACAGACTTCTGGCTTCTCTGGAGCACTATGTCATTCCTTTACTATAGTGGCATGACATTAACAAATCTATTTTCCAAGACTTTTTTTTTTCTTTTTTTTGAAAGACATATATTAGTCTGACAAACAGAGGTTTAGTTTCACTCATCCCATTGTAGCAAAATTTCTGCAAGGGCTGACCTTTGTTTTCTGCCACTCTGGTTCCACCTGTATCCTGGGATCTCAGTGTAGTGTTGGTTGATTTAATGAGTATCCCCATCTCCTCCCTTGGTTCATAGCTATAAGCCCCTTTCATCACTTAATAAAAATCACAGAATTCCTAGTGTTCCTAACCACAACTAGAATGGCAGGGGAGATTAAAGTCCTATGGCAGGCCCTCCTTAGACTGATTTTCACATGGATAAGATTAGCTTCAGGACTCACCTGAAGCTCCTGCCCACAGTCTTCTTTTTTTTTCTGCCAGCCTCTTCCATCAACCTCATTCTTTACCAGCTGAAACAAAGCTTCCCATGCCAGCTGCTGTTAGTGCACTATCCTTTATCTAGATCTAGGACTAGGTCAGCTAGAGCATTAATGTGATGGCTGTACTTGCAGAGCAGCTGAAGAAAACTGATATCCTCCCAGAGACTGATTACATAGGTTTTAAACTGCTCGAACAGTCTTGCAAAACGTATTAGTATGGAAAGATCCTTGTGGTCACAGCAGGGCTCATTTGACTTGAGCACCAGCAGCTCCTGTTGTCTCTTTGAACAGTGTCCCATTTGCTGAAATACGGAGGATAGTAACATAATGTTCAGTCCATACTTCCAACACTTGTGAGACTTTGGTATAGGTCTCTAGGGAAGCAGGGCAATCCTCCAGTCTTATTAAAGACTCCCCTGACTTGTGTCTGAGCACAGATTACTGTTTGCTAGCAGCATCTGTGGGTAGGTCTACACGTGCTATTAATGTGAAGCGATAAACTCCGGCACGCTTTGTGCCAGAGTTTACTGCTCCCAGGTGCAGTGTTTGCACATACGCATGGATGTTGAGCCAGGGTGGAGCAGCCCTGGCTGGGAAGAGGTCCAGGGGTCAGCCTGCCAGCCCGGGGCTGCACCAACCTAGCTCAACATGCTGTGGAGGGGCTAGTTGGGGCATGAGGATGCTACAGTGCAAAGTTGCCTGCCGGTTAACCCCTCACTATAGCACCATCATGCCCCAGCCAGCCCCAGTTACTGTCTACATGTGAGTTGCTAAATGCCACCATAGGATAGTATTTGTGTTGGGCAGTACTGTCCTATAGTGGCATTTATTAGTTTACTGCGGCCTAATAATGCGGCATGTGTCGATGTGGTGTGATGGGCACCAGCAGCACCAAGATGACTGTGGGTGGGGAGTGAGGGGCACCTGCAGGAACAGGGGACTGTGGGTTGGGAATGAAGGGCACCAGCAGGGCTGTGGCTTGAGAGTGAGGGGCCATGGCATAGGCAGGGTACCAACACGTGAAGGCTGCTCAGCACCACAAAGCAGTGTTGAGGAGGGTCAGCTGCAGCTGGACACACATCCTGGTGAGCGAAGGGGGCGGGGGGAGCTCTGATTTTTCATGATAAAAAAGCCAAAATCAACCACCCAAATTTATAGGTATTTAGAATGTATTTTATTATAGTGATTGAGACACTGGTAGGCTTCCAATTTACTTTAAAATTGTAAATATATCAATAAAACATTGTGTTCAACTAGTGTGTGTGTGTGTGTGTGTGTGTGTGTGTGTGTGTGTGTGCACACGCGCATGTGCATAGTGGCATTTTATTTTAATTGTGGAAAAACATGGATTTTGGGGTATTTAATGAGAATTTGCAGTGTTTTTTTTAAATCAGAGAATTTGCAATTTTTAAACTGAGACAATCAGGTTTCCTGGTGATTATACTTGTTTCATGGGTGACATTTTTGCCTCCTCTCCTGTGTTTTGTACTTAAAGCACTCAGAGCTCCCAGAAAAGTCAGTGACAAATGAAGGCAGGATTTGGCCTTGGTGATTTGACATGTATGACAAGATGATGATGACAGTGAATTTAGATAAGGGATATAGTTTGGAGGATCAATGAATGTAATGGCTGGATTAAAGGTCTCTCTTACCGTAGAATGTGAGATTAGTTGAAGTGTAGTGATGTAGGAGTTAAGATTTTCTATCCTCAAACATGAAGGGCTGCGAAAGATGTTTAAACTAAAATTCTCAGCAGTGAGTAAATGTGAGATTCATCAGGGAATTGGACTGCATACCTTGTACCTTTTAATACAGATTTAATTATTTTTCCTGAAAGAGATCTTGCAGAACATTCAGAATCTCATTTGTGGTTGCAGGGAAGGGGACGCAGGAAAGGAACTTCTCAGCATTTTCTATTGTAATTGGCAGTGTTGAAACAAGGTGCCAGTAGCATCTGTAGCAGGGTTCAGAATATACAAGTGCATCTCTGGTTCACACTCCGCTTGTCTGCTGTCCTTGTTTTCTGCTGGGAGTCATATTTCATGGCTTGGGTCTGTGTCTAATAATTTAAGTAAAGAATCCAAAGCATTTTGTATGTAAAGCATAGCCAGGGTATAGAAAAGAGCTTGTTTAGCCACATAAAGATACAATAGCTACCTGACTAAGCATGTAAGAAAAGGGTTAGTTATTTAAATGATTGGGTTCCAGTAGGACATGCACTATGCTAACATGGTCCCTCTCTTATTGCAGCTGGAGTTCAATGGAGTAGGCTCATGCAGGGAGGACTATACCTCGGTTGCTCAGGGCTGTAGGGGGGCGGTCAAGAAGGCCAAGGTGGAGATGAAACTGGGACTAGCTACCCCGATCAAGGACATCAAGAAGTTCTTTTTTAAATACATAGGGGACAAAAAGAAGGTACTGGGTAACGTGGGGCCTCTACAGGATAGGGTAGGAAATCTGGTTGTCGCACCAGACAGCAAAGCTAACCTATTTAACAATTTCTTTGCCTCCATTTTTCTGAGCAGGGACTGGGCCACCCCCACCGGGACCCCCATAGGACCGAGGGGAGGCGCACCCAGGCTTAGGGTCAGTGAGGACTTAGTCAGGGAACTTCTGGAGGGACTGGATGTATTTAAATCAGTAGGTCCTGATGATCTCCACCCCGGAGTGCTGAGGGAATTAGCAGAGGTCATTGCGGGACCCCTGGCATGGCTTTACGAGCACTCGTGGTGCTCTGGTGTGGTGCCAGAGGACTGGAAAAGGGCCAATGTGGTTCCCATTTTCAAAAAAGGGAGGAAGGAGGACCCAGGAAACTATAGGCCAGTCAGTCTTACTTTGGTCCTGGGTAAGCTTTTTGAGAGAGTTATCCTGGTGCATGTCCACGAGGGGCCAGCAAGGGAGATTATGCTTAGGGGCAACCAACATGGGTTCATTAGAGGCAGGTCCTGTCAGACCAACCTGGTGGCCTTCTGTGACCAGGTCACAAAATCTTTAAATGCAGGAGTAGCAGTGGACGTAGTCTTTCTGGACTTTAGTAAGGCCTTCGACACTGTCTCTCACCCCATTCTCATTAAAAAA